TACACTTCACCCCCACACCCCACACTCCATACATCCTATAGGCTCTTCCCCGCCTCTAATAAATTTTTTTGCTTCCTCCCTGTCGTTCTTGTCGCTGCCATCAATGGCCCTCATGATTTTAATAGCGGACTGAAGGGTAAACACTTGCATGAAAGTTTGTTTTTATTCAATGAGAGTGAGTTTCACACTCATTTCTTCCACTGTACATTCGGTGTCAGCGAGCCCCTTTGCAAAATGGTTGAGTTTCTCCTCAAGACAGTTGACTTTCTTTTCAATATTCCTAGAATCCACCTTTGCATCCCTTTGTCCTGACCGCATCTCAAGAACAACAATAGTGGACAGGACTAGTGCTATGATCAGAGTGAGTTGATTTCTTTTTGCTCACTCTGTAAGACCTGGTTAACCTGAAGTCTACTTCTCAGTTTCCATACAGGAGTACACCCTATAAGTTTTGTATATTTTACTAGCAGGGAGAGGGGGGCGTACAAAGGTTAAGAATAAAGACTTCGCACACAATACTTGGTGACCTCACCAGCTAAGGATTTCTTACTGGTGAGCCACTTTGGTGTATGTGAAGACTTCATGCTGGACCCTTGTACATCACTTCCTACTAGTAAAATTAGCACCTCCTCGATCTATGCTTGAGTGGATTGTAAATGTTGAAAGTTTGAGGAAGAAGATATGGATAGTCATGCAAGCAAAATCCTGTTGTGATGGAAAATGCTACAGGATACATGTCATCATGAGCTATCAGATCATCAAATTATCTGATGAGATGGAGCTGATTGTGCACATCTGATTAGACTGCTCAGTATAATTGGGATATACAAATTTATGGACTGTACCTCTGTAAATATCCAGAATGAAAACCTACTTCCCAATTGCTTTCCACCGTTGTCCTCCTTAAAATTTAAAATCTTTACCCCGAAAGCTTTGAGCGAGATAGACATTCTATTGTTTTATCAGTCTTGTAAAGGGAAAGATGCATGTCTGACTTACCTGGAAGAGGGAGAGGATTCAATGAAGGGAAAGAAGGATTGGTAGGAGGAAGGGAGGTTCGATGAAGACAGTAAAGATTTGATAAAAGGAGTAAATATTTGGTGAGGAGAGAGGAGGTTCTCGTCAGATGAAGGAGTGTTAATCTGATTGAGTTTGGTAGGAAGAAGAAAGAGGAGCAGGGGGAGAAGGAGAGGTTTCTTTCTCAAATAGGAGTGTTGTCAAGCTAAGGTTACCCTCCTCTCACCCTTCCTACAAATCCACGGTTATGCAATATGTATTTCTTAGTAAGTGGAAGAGATGTCCGAGTACAAGTATACCTTATAGGCAGAATTCAACAACAAAAGTTCCTAAGAAGGACTAGTGCCTTCCTGATACGGGATGGTCTGAGTCATTCAGCTGTGTTGATCTCCTTAACTGGCTGTCACAATTCAATTAACTTGCCAACCTAAATCTATCTTAGGCTGATCTTCTGATTATCCCTTAGTCCGTTGGGCCCTGCATCCAAGCAATCTGGTCAAGAAAATTAAGAGATCTGGAAAGTATTCTTCCTTAGCTGGAAATAAAATATTAAGGTTCCAGGTTGGGTCCTTTTCCACTGATCTCTTAGGCACACCAACAAACTAAGAGATACAGGGGTATTCATGACAGGTAAAGATATCATAGCAAATCGAAAGGGTGCTTACTGTCCCTAAGATCTCCTGAGATAGTTTCAGGATTTCTCTCTGCATGACTGGAGCAGCAACTGATACTCTCTCCATAGCCCTGTGGTAGGTGACAAGGCTAGGGTTTTTAAATATTCAAAAGATAAAATGCAATTGGTCTTGGTCACTTTAAATGCCTCTTGCCTTCTGTATGGAGCAGATAAGAACATATGTATGGTATACTCTTAGGCATTTCGGGAGCAGAGACTAGCCCAGAATACTACATGTGAAGTCTAGCTGATTTGTTCCATTCTCCTCTAGCTCGGTTTAGGCCATGTAGAACATGCTGTCTTATGCCTATTATTCCTATTGTAGAAACAAATGAATATCGGTACGACATGAACTAATTTCTAACAAGTTTGATGATTGATACGAGTATTCTATTGAATAAGCTCCATCTTAAGGAAAGTCTATTTCACAACATCCAACATGAGTGCAGTACTCATGTACGGCAGTCTAGCAGATATAATATGTGAGAAACAGAAACACCACGCATGATAATAAAACTATATAGATTAATCACTTTTAAAATGCTTTTACAAAGTCTTAACTGATTAGAAAAATGGATTATTCTCTAAAGCTTCCCTGTACTCTAGTGCTTGGATCAGTTTCATGAGCTCACCCCTCATTTCAGTGGAGGTTATCCCAAAATTCTCTACCTTACTTTTCTACTTAACTAATATCTTTTCGAATGGAGATAATTCCTCTACAATTTGCTCTTTGGTATAGTTGATTGTCTTATGTTCATGTTTGCCAGTGGGGTCTTTAAGTTCATCTGCTTTGTGCTTTACCATGTTTATTACCTATTGTGGAAAGCGAACAAGTTCCGCGACATGAATACCAAAACTCTAGTCACAAATGCCTATAGCAATGCATCAAATACTGCAAAGCATCTAATTTCCTTGACAACATGCTCCAAGATAGCTCAAATCCACCATAATTACTAGTGCCTCGCTCAATCTCACCAAGCCAGATGCCTCCATAAAACCGAGAGGTTATATCCTCCTCTCTGAATCAGTCCCATCTTATCTGTAGAATATTTTTCAGCAAGCCAATAATACCATTGCTCCAATTACAAGGTATACTCCGATATTCCTAAAGTTAATTCAAATGTAATGGTATAACAAGTTAACCTCAGATCTTTACCAATGGTAGATGGTTATGGAGCTCCTGCCATGACCTGACCAGTAGAAAGTACCTCTGCAATTGCGACACTCCAATAACTCCTAATCTCAGAAGATTCTAGGGAAACTAAAAAGTGACAAATACAGGTGAAGGTATGGAGGTTTGGCTGGACAAGAGCAGAAAAGGCATTGCAAAGTAGAAGGCATTCTCCTAACCAACTAAACCAAAATAGGAAACTCAATACTTGTAACATCTAATCCTAGAGTGACATTTTCTAAACAAAGCTAAAACAAATACATATTCAACATCTATTAGCATCTTCCGAGGTTCAAAGCACCTCCTGTACTTGCATGAACTTGGTGTTTTTTCATGGGACACCCTTTTCTTAGCCATGTGAGCAGAAGTACCAGTACTGGAGTATCGAAAGGGCTGGTCTTAGACTCCACACACCATCCAACCCTAAGTCACGCCCACTTGGTGGAAAACCTGATAATAGCAGGTATGATTATACCATACTCAAGTACAAGTCCTGGCACAATGCTGTACCGTTGGTTAAGGGTAAGTAGAGCGAACATGCTCTAATTGTCCCAGAATGATTTGAGCTTTCTGATTCTCTGAGCATGCTTAGGGTGGCCAAAAGTGCTGAGTTGTTTGAGACCTTAAAAGGACAAGGATCAGTTTTTCTTACCAAGTTCGGTTAATTGTTGCCAAATATGGCCTTAACGTGCTTGGGACGATTTTTGACTGTTTCAGACTGCCCAAGGGATAGAGGTTTCGTGGGCCCCTGCCGGGGTATTTTACTTAATGGAAAATATTCTATAAATTACTTGTATGTCGGCTGTGTGTAGAAATGACTGCCCCTACAACCTGGTGGAAAATTATCTCTTGTCAGCCTCATACAAGAAATTATACGACTTTGGAGTACATACAGAACGTCTGGCAGGGAGCTCAAAAACTGACTCCAGGAGTCTCTTTACGGCCTCAAACTACCACTTCGGGGCACTTTGGAGCATCATTCTTTGATCAGTCGAGTGATAACCTATGAGGAAACCCTCTCAATCCCGTACCAAGGCATCCACGGCAACCTCCGGGACGTGGGTATCTGGCAAACCGAGCAATTCCCCTTCCTAGCATCCTACCGCACAGGTGACCAGATCCGGGAGCCCACCACGGTAAGCCTCTCCGGGGACGACCTGCTAACGGCAGTCTTCGCGAATAACTTCGGCACGCCGGAGATTCGCTGGGACGTGGTCATGGAGGGCTTCGACCCGAAGAAATTCGTATACCCGCCGGTAGCCGGTGAGAGGGGGTTCGTTGGAGCGGTGAGGACGCTTGAGGAGAGGGAGGATTTTCCCATTACCTATGAGCCCAGACATAATTCGTTGGGCATGGGGTTGTCCTGGTTCAATTGGGATGGCAGCCTGGTTAATGGGAGTAGAATTGCCGACGGGAGGTAGCGGTTTGTGTTTATGGCACTGAGGGTTGCAGGGGATAGGAGGAAGGTGGAGGATTGGGAGACAGTGATTACGGAAGTTGTTACTTTTGCTTCTGGACCTTAGGTAAACTTGGTGAAGGGGCGAAGGGACTACATTTCTTGTAGATATTTTTGAACTGAATGTTTTAAGAGTGCTCAGTATATATGACATGTTGGATAGTGAGTATATGCACTTGCGCGGGCATTGTTTGATAGCCAATTTCGGGCAGATACCCCACCGTCCGAACCTCGAGTGATTCCCTGTGAACCCGTGAACATATTCCTCCCAAACAAAAGCTGCGCCGCTAAACCGGGACGATAGCAACCTATCGTACCCACCGGCGCGACAAGAAGAAAAAAAAATTCCCCACCCCGTACGAACCATCAAAACATTCGCAAAGAGAAAATATGAATCTCTTCCATTGCCCATCATCGTACAGTATCATAGGGACAAGACATGTCAGCAATATACAGCAATTAGACCATAGCAACCAACGCGTAATGCTTCCACCACTAACTCTCCCTTTTCTCTCCTCCCCCTCTCCTCCCTTCCTATGATAATTTCAACCACACCACCGATCCCAACCTCCCGGTAATAATAATATATAGGGGCTTCCATTGATACTTTTTTTTAATTTCTCATAATTAAACCAGCCAGCTAGCTCCCATCTATACAAATCAGATTGTTGGATGAGAGGTGTGGGAAAGAAAAACAGTAACTTGGGACGGTAGAAATAATAACTGAATAAATGAAAGACAGAGGAGAGAAATCATCTCCTGCTTCGTCCACTACCCAGGATACCACCGAGGCCACTCCCGGGGCCTTTCCTGGTGCGTCTCTTGCTGGTATTTGCTCCCCCTGCGCTGCTGGTAGGGGTAACGCCATCGAAGGGACCTTCGTCGATTTCCATCTCGTCGTCCTCACCCCAGCCTCCGCTGCCGCGGATAGCACTCTCATCACCTTCGCTGATGACCCTTTTCCCCTTCCCGGCCACACCTCCCCCTCCTCCTCCACCCGGGACTCCCGAAACAATTCCCGGGCCCATCCCACCACCACTACCACTGCCCTTCTCCTCCGACTTGACAATCTCCTTCCTCATCGCCACAATCCTCTCATACTCGTCCGCAGCCCTCTTCCTAGCGATTGCCTCGCGCTGCACGCATCGTACCTGCTCGTCGATATCGCCGAGGACATCCTCGCATTGCCGGCACCAGTTCTTCAGGGTGGCGATCATATCCGGGATCTCCTCCGGCGCGACGTCGCGGCCAGCAGTGCTGGACACTTCGATGCGCGCAGCCTTGGTATCGAGTTTGGCAACGAGGAGGTGTGCGTAGATTGCGCTTATGGTGAGGTCTTCCAAGGCGCGGGTACTGGGCAGATCCAGGGTGCGCTGGAGGGAGGTGTAGGTTAGGTTCTGTGGGCCCTGGGAGGAGAGAGTTATCAAGGAGAGTTGTTTCAGCTTATGGAGGTGGGCTGCTGAGAGTGGGGGGAGGTTTTTGGCATTGTCTAGGGGTGGATGGGGTGTTAGTTAGCGTTTTAAAGAGGGGATGAGAATCAAACCTCTATAATCACCGTACCATCCGTAAGCGAAGATCTTCAAAAGGTCAATGTACCTCTTCCCGTCACCGGTTTTGGCGAGGGCTTGGATGTTGGGCATTTCCAGGAGTTCACTGAAGACGAAGCAGCCCGGTGCTGCCGTCGCCTGCATGACGAGGTCAGCGGCTGCTCTGCCGGTGGCAGACTTGGCGAGGAGGATGAAGGGTTGGAGGGAGGTTAGGTATTGTTCATCCGCCATCTCTGGTTAATTTTCAGCGGGTGGGCGGTGTTGCACTATATTGCGGATTGGTGGAGGGTCGATTGTTGATGGATAGATGGATGGGTGGATGAATGATGGGAAGATAATTTAGAGCTCAAGTTTGTTGGTGGGGAAGACATACAACCTCATGCGGTAGGCTAAGTTAGCGCACCCAATGATAATTTAGATAAGTCTCAAACAACATGGTTTTAGTGTTGTATGATAATAGCATTGTTCAAGTAAAAGATTAGATTAGATTAATCGGTGAGATCCGACCAAGACTTCTTCCTGCCTCCTGCTGAATAATGCTCTCCTTTGTCCCCAAAGTTGCAGGGGCCAAATTTATTTATGGTGCACAAGATTCCAAACGAATAAAGCAAGCAACAAACGATGTACCTATATCGGTACGAGTAATCCCTGCTGTCGTGCGCTCACTCATTCTTTAACCTGAAACCACTCTGACTCTCAGCTCCGCAGAGAATACATACTGTACGAGTACTGGGGCTATCGCAGTGGTGCGGGTAGTTAGTAGAAGCGAATAGACTACCGTATCATACTTGTATGAGCACAAAGAAAGAGGCAGACGGCAAAAATGGGTCTTGTGGCTCGTGGACTTTTGGCCCAGGCGGTGGCTAGAATGGGTAACTGTCGTAGTAGGTGCAGTACCGATAGTAGTGATACTAGTAGCGGTGTTTTCGGGGGATGGGGGAGGTTTTCCGGTGATTTTGAGCCTTTGTAACGGAGGAGAGCGACCGGTTGGTCATAATACGGTTGTGGTGGGTGATATGGTATGATACTGATAAATAATCAACGAGCCAGGGGAGGAGGAGGAAGAGGCACAAACACCATGAGCTTCAGAGAAGGCATCGCGACATCCTGAGGGATCACGTCCATTTTCGCTGCCTGTACCTAGTTGCCAGCGGTTCAGCGGTTTGCGGATAGGTGCGGCTGCACCCGAGCGTATGGAACTATGTTGGGAAGGAAGATGAATTTTATGTAGAGGGTTTAGTACTGGTATCATACTTGGTATTTTCAAACACCTTCGGAAACAAGGAAATGTGCTGAGACGGGTGGGTGAGTGAGCAAGTGAATAGTACCGGTACGAGTACTCAAGTTCAGTACGATACCGGTAGTCTGGACGGAGCTGCCGGTACTGTAAGATTGCCGTATAGTAGTCTTGTCATGTGGGACCATTTTCCTTCCCACCATATCCTTGTCTGATTTACTTCGCCTGGATTTCTCCCCTCTGAACCTATTCTTATTCTCACACTCTTGCCTCTTCCCTCATCCTATTCTCTCATCTCCCTTGGTGATGGCGGTGGTGTGTTACAATACTGCACTGTGCTCGAGTGTTGTCTTATCCTACCCCCTCGACCCATATTTTACGGATCCAGTAATCAACTTCTCGGGTCTTCAGCCAGAGTGAAAGTGAACATCCTTTTCTCCTTTTCTCCCTCTCTCCCCTTTCTCTAGTTTTGCTGCGGGCCCGGCACTTCTTTTTCTCACTCCCAAATCATTTTCTATTCTAACTTGGCCCTCCTGGCTCCAACGCCTCCGGGGGTTCCACTTGCATCATATCCAACATCTTTTTTCTCCGTTAGAATCCCTCCCCGCCACCTCATACACCCCCCCATCCCCCCATTCCTCTCTCGCTCCCCTAGCCTACACCTGACACTCCTCTCTCGAAAGATCGCCCTTCTCGCCTATCTTACATCTCGACTACCTTAAATTCCTGTTCGGCAAACTTGGACGATATATGGGCTTGGGTGTTTGTTGTTGAAAGGGATCTTATCCCGCTCCCCTTTTTCCAATTCTTTTCACATCTATCCTTTAGTTCCCGCTATTAGATTTCAGCCCACCTTTTTTTTATTTTTAAATTGTTTCTTCTTTTATGGCCAAAAATCATACCTCCGTTCGTGACAGCATGTCAGCCTCAAAACCGGAGGAGGAAGTCCCATTAATGGACTTGGGGGACTATAGGGGGGAGAAGAAACTCGCACAGACTACCATCGCTGTCGATGGAATGACATGTGGCGCTTGCACGTCTGCTATTGAAGGTTTGTTGCTTCTTACATCTCCCAGGGCACTTTTCTGAGCCGCGAGCGTGGCGACAACTTAGGTGGCTTCACAAATGTCGACGGGTTAGAGTCCTTCACCATAAGCCTGATCACTGAGCGAGCCGTTGCGATCCACGATGTCGCGAGACTCTCAGCAGAGCAGATTGTTGGAATGTGAGTTTTAAACACCGAAGTTATCAACTCCGCGGGAAGGTAGCGTTAACCCGGTATGACAGAATTGGGGACCGCGGTTTCGATGCAACGATTGTTTCCTCCGACATCAAAGGCCGGTCACCGGGGGGTAGGCGGATGGGGGCGTCGGCCTCGGGATGGGTCGCCACTACGATTGCGGTGGAGGGCATGACTTGTGCATCGTGCTCAAGCTCTATCGAGGGCGCTTTCAGGAACGTGGATGGTGTGCAGAGCGTCGCGGTGGATTTGGGTACGGACCGTGCTGTTGCTACTCACGACCCGGCAAAGATATCGGCGGAGAAGGTAGCGGAAATCATCGAGGATCGTGGGTTCGATGCGAAGATTGTACGTACTGAACCTGTTGGAGGATATGGACGACGGAGCATGAGCGATTCGACACCGCATTTAGCTACGACGACGATTGCTGTAGAGGGTATGACTTGTGGCGCTTGTACTGCGGCTATTGAGGGAGGTTTCGAGGATGTTGCTGGGATTGGAAGCTTTACGGTCAGCTTAATAACGGAGAGGGCAGTGGCGGTTCACGATCCGAATGTTATTTCGGCTGAAAAGATTGCAGAAATGTAAGCCATCATATTGTATGATGCTTGAAGTTGAATGGCTGATTATTTTTAGAATCGACGACCGAGGATTCGATGCAAAAATCATATCAACAGACCTTCTGGGCAACGATGATCAGGGTGCAAAAGAAGATACCATAATATTCAAGGTTTTCGGCGTGAACTCAGAGGAGGATGCCATAAGGCTAGAGAACTCTTTTCGCACCTGTGAAGGGGTTATCGATGCAGTTGTGACATTACCTGATGCAAGGGCTGTAATCGAATACTATCCGTCGAAAACTGGAGTGCGCAACCTTGTCGATATAGCCGAGTCATTAAACATGAACGTCCTCCTAGCGGATATGGAAGACAATAGCGCTCAGCTAGAATCCCTGGCGAAAACGAAGGAAATCAAACAATGGCAGCACGCGTTCTGGTTTTCGCTGTATTTTGCCGTTCCCGTGTTTTTGATATCCATGATAATTCCTATGTGGTTTAAGGGACTCGATAAGTACATCGGCCAGCTCTGTATAATACCGGGACTGTATCTGGGCGATGTCATTTGTTTGCTGTTAACCATTCCGGTGCAATTTGGAATCGGGTTAAGGTTTTATAGGAGTGCCTTCAAGAGCCTTAAGCACGGGAGTGCTACCATGGACGTTTTGGTGGTTCTCGGAACTTCGGCGGCTTTCTTCTTTTCAATCGTGGCTATGCTCATGTCTGTTATGTGTTCTCCCCACACCAAGCCTGGCACTGTGTTCGACACTTCTACCATGTTGATCACGTTTATTTCCCTAGGAAGGTACCTTGAGAACAGAGCAAAGGGCCAGACTTCAAGAGCCTTATCAAGGCTGATGTCTCTCGCTCCTTCGATGGCAACAATATATGTCGACCCGGAGAGGGCAGGATTGAGCATGGAAAACGACGATAATGCGGGCGAGGAGAGGACTATTCCAACAGAACTTATCCAGGTCAACGACATTGTGATTGTCCGTCCAGGGGATAGAATACCTGCTGATGGAACTGTCGTCGCGGGAGAAAGCTACGTTGATGAGAGCATGGTCACTGGAGAACCCATGCCAATCCTCAAATGCAAGGGAGCACTATTGATTGGTGGAACAGTCAATAGCGCAGGTCGTCTTGACTTCCGAGTCACTAGAGCCGGGAGGGACACTCAACTGAGCCAGATCGTCAAGCTCGTCCAAGAAGCCCAAACTTCCCGAGCGCCTATTCAACGAATGGCTGATGTCCTCGCTGGGTACTTTGTCCCTAGCATCATCGCGTTAGGATTAATCACCTTCATTGGATGGATGATCCTTAGCAATGTCCTGAACGAACCCCCGGCAATCTTCTCAAAGGAATCTAGCGGCGGGTCATTAATGGTCTGCTTGAAGCTCTGTATCAGCGTCATCGTCTTCGCCTGCCCATGTGCCCTCGGCCTGTCCACGCCTACCGCAGTGATGGTAGGTACGGGCGTCGGAGCAGAGCAAGGTATCCTTGTCAAAGGTGGTGCAGCGCTAGAGACTGCGACGAAAATCACGCAAGTCGTCCTGGATAAAACCGGAACGATAACAATTGGACGAATGACCGTTACCGTGAGCAAGCAGTCCACAGCATGGGGATCTACCGAATGGAGATCCCGCCTCTGGTGGTTGCTTGTCGGCATTACTGAATCTGGTAGTGAGCATCCTGTCGGCAGGGCCATTACCGCCGCTGCTAGGGAACACTTGGATCTAGGTGTAGACGGAGTTCTTGAAGGGTCGATCGCGGAATTCAAAGCCACTGTCGGCCGCGGCGTTCAAGCGAACATTAAGCCAGCCACTGAGCCAAGAGCTTACAAAGTCCTTATTGGAAACACTAGATTCCTTAATGAAAGCGGCATCGAGGTCCCCGAAGACGCGGTTAGCGAAGCGGAAGGCGTAAGTCTCGCAGTCCACGCTAGAAATGCCGATGGAAACACCTGTGTCTTTGTTGCAATTGATGGGGAATACGCAGGACTGGCAGCACTTAGTGACGAACTGAAGCCAGACGCTAGATATGCTGTCGAGGCATTATACAGACTGGGTGTCAAAATAGCAATGGTTAGTCTCCTCCCCGCTTCTTCTGGCCACCCACCTCATCTAACCTCACGAACAGGTAACTGGCGACCAAGAAGCCCCCGCCCAACAAGTCGCCAAACAAGTCGGCATACCCCTTTCAATGGTCTATTCCTCCGTTTCTCCAGACAAAAAGCGGGAGATAATAAAGTCCCTCCAAGCCTCCGGCGAAATCGTAGCTATGGTCGGCGATGGCATAAACGATTCCCCAGCGCTCGCGACTGCGGATGTCGGAATCGCGATGTCCTCGGGCACGGACGTGGCTATGGAAGCCGCCGACATCGTCCTCATGCGGCCCCAATCTCTGCTGGACATTCCCGCAGCCCTGCACCTTTCCAAGACCATCTTTAGCAGGATAAAGCTGAACCTGCTCTGGGCGTGCTTCTATAACATCCTGGGTTTACCGTTTGCCATGGGGTTTTTCTTGCCGCTGGGATTGCACTTGCACCCCATGGCGGCGGGCGCTGCCATGGCGGCTAGTAGTGTTTCTGTCGTGTGTTCCAGTCTGCTTCTGAAGTTCTGGAGAAGGCCGGTTTGGATGACGGTTGATGGGATGAAGGCCGAGGAACTGAGTGATCTGGACGCGCCCAGGGGCCCCAGCACGGGCTGGCAGAGTAGGTGGGGAAGGTGGAGAGCCGGAAGAAGAGCTAGAGATGGGTATGCCCCCGTTGGCACGGAAGAGGTGTAGATTTTGGTTGGTGGGTGAGCCGAAGAGTATATATATGATATTATTTCCTAAATTAGCGCTTAACTGCGCGCGCTTTGTGTTGCCCTTGTTTTTCCGGTGCTTTTTTTACTTCTGTTGGCTGGGGGCTTTTTTTTATATAATGGGATGGGGTATTTTGGTACAGCAAATTAAGTCGGATGATATAGCAATTACTCGCTTCACCCTTACGCCATTTTGAGAGGATTGATCGTATCGCATGTCGTCGTTGCAGTTCGTGTTTCGAGCCAGGATAGGACATTGTGAGCAGGTTTGCGCTTGTTCAGAACCGGGCTGCGGCATACCCATAGAGTACATTCAACACGTAACCCTGATAGGAAGTAACGAGTGAGAGCATGTGCGCGAGTGATTATCTATGTATCACCCTACTAGAAAGTCGGGCATATTCTACCCTCTCCTGAGCCTGCTCATTTTGTCATTGGTATCTTAGCTGCGATTATTCCTTTCAAGTGTTACGCTTAACCTCGGGAGGAAGGTGTTCCTTCTCCGGGCGGTGTTTGCGGTGCGTGAGGTGCCTATCTGGTGGGGCGGTTTGGCGGAATCCTAGGAACACATTGGATAAACCCGTGTGAATTAGTACATGGGAACTCTCGGGGAGGAATTTCGGTTTCACATCATGTTATCTGCTGGGGGGTGTCATGGGGAAGAAAAAAACAGTGGGCTCTGCACTGGGGGCCGATTGAACGCAAGTTCTTTGGTGAGGCTGTGGGAATGACTGGTTTCTGCTGCGGGTCTACTGGTTTGTAGAATTGGGCCATGGAATAGTGGATGTAATTGCTACTCGTATCTCCGCACCAAGAATGGGCACTGCTTTTGGAATAGCCCCCCCACTGACCTATCATATGATACAAAAAGTATGGTTGTTGAAAGCTGCTTTTCTAAAGGAACCCGTAAACGGCCACCATAGAGAGAGACAACAATAAATACCACCCAAGCTTGATAGCAATATTCTCCAACCCCGAAACTAATATGACAAAAGACATTATCTAGAATTACGTGCTGATTTGTTTCCTCACTAACTTACGGCCCATAAGATTAATTTTCGAGCCATGGAGTCACTTTCGACTAGTTCCAACATGGTTCGATTTCGTTCATCACGATCGGGTTCTGCGTCAGAAAGAGATGCCTATTCTTGGCGCGGAGGCACGAGTACGGTGCTCGAGCGGCAGGGGTGAGGTGTTGTCCTCGAACAATTGGGTAGCCGATGGAAAGGGTTGGGGGGGGGGAAGGGATTAGTGAGCCGGGAGTTATTTATTTGCCTAGTTTGATTTTAGAATAACCATTCGCGGGTCGAATTCTGGAAATTTGCCTTTAAGTGTGGGGTTAGATTTTGGACCATTTTGCTATCGATCTTTTCGATAGGAACTTGGTTTTTTTTCCTCTTTTCTTCTCTGAGGGTCGGAACGAACGGTTGCTACTGGGGAAAAATTACTGATCCGTACAATATTTTGTGGTTCCCTCGAAGTACGTGCTCTCGCTAGGAACTTTGATCATTGGAAAATTTAATACTATTTTGGGGTCTTTGAGCTTGTGGTGCTCGGAAGTAGTCGGTTATCTGGATAACTTGGACTATTACTCGTGACATCTTCCTTGACTAGCAGGTTTTTGCACGTTACTCGATTGTTATACTCCTGATTACTTGAGGTTGGACAAGATTTTTTGGCACTTGGGTCGTTGCTCTTCATGAGCTAGTATTGTTGTGGTTTTTTTTTTTTTTTTTTTTTGCTGAGGTCTTGACATTGTCTACTTACTGGAATTGTCCCAGCCATCTATCGTAAGACCGGTATTGTTTTCTGTGGGTGGAAATAAGGGCCTCTCGAGATATATATATACATATATATATTTATGGGAATGTCCTGGGGAATAAAGCTATACTAAAAGGGACGCAGGTAAGACTGCGATGACCCCCTGCAGGAATTTACAGTATAGTATCGAATATCCTTCCATTCCGCTGATACAAAACTTGGCTGGTGCCGAAAGCTTTAATCTAATACTACTATAGGCAGTAACGCGCCGCGTGGGAGTGGTACCATAGGATGGTGTCTCTCACCCTCAACTCCCCGCTCCTCCCCGCTCCTCGGATCAAGTATGGTATCGTAAAACCTGGAAGCGCCGTATCACATCTGGCCTCGACAAAAGAAAGTGGAACCAGCGAGTGTTAGGCAAACTGTGAGGAAATCTGGCTAGGGTATCATTACTGGAGAGGAATGCTTATGATACTGGCGTCACGAGTCATCACTGATGGCATGAGTGGCTGCGAACGGAAAGTTTCCATAACGTACGGTAGGATGCGATACAGTACGGTTGACTTATTAGGCTCCATTAACTTAGCCGGACCGGCGTGAGGAGAAATTCTGAGCTTAATGGAGGAGTTGGATGAGTGTAGGGTTTACATACGGCATCCAGTGTGAGACACAAAAAGGTAGGTTGAACTCAGCCTGGGCTTTTGAATATGGAATTAGCCACTTGCAGCGCAGATGGTAATATTGTGAATGCAGCTTGGCCCTTCTTCTGTAACGCCCTCTGCATGCAATCTTCCTCATACGCCCCTAACTTAATAATACATAAACTTTGCAATGCCCCCACCTAAAAGCTAGTCACCAATAAGGGGTCATCAAGAGCCCGACGTTATAACAGCTAAAATTCGGAAAATAATAATAAAAAAAAAACATAGCCAACATAATTTTATCCCTGAGCAGACATAAGCCTTTTATCTCTGTCATGATACTTCGTCTAAGGTACTCGTCGCCCGGGCATAAAGAAACATCGAGAGCTGGTTAAAGCTCCTTAGAGTCGCTGGATGGTTTGGCCCTAGAGATTTCTCTGCCTCCGTAACCGCACGTCGATACATGATCTCCGATTCATCGTACTTTCTCTTCTCGTGCAGCACCGCACCTAGCTTAATGAGACTGCGGAGGGTGTGTCGATGACCTGGCCCCAGAGTCTTCTCTCGCCCTGCCAGCGCTCGCCGATGCATCATCTCCGCCTCGTCGTACTTCCTCTGTCTTTGCAGCAACCCAGCTAGGTTATAGACGCACATTAGGGTATCTCGGTGGTCGGGTCCAAGCGTCCTCCCCGTGCCGATTACTGCACGCCGATACATAATCTCCGCTTCGTGGTGCTTATTCTGATTACGTAGTGCCACACCAAGGTTGTTGGCAGTTAGTAGGGTATCTCGATGGTCTGGCCCAAATGTCTTCTCTCTGCCTGCCAGCGCGCGTCGACACATGACCTCCGCTTCGTTATACATTTTTAGATCAAGTAGCGCTTCTCCAAGGATATTCACACTGTCGAGGACATCCTGGTGATCGGGCCCTAGAGCCTTCTCCATAGTCCCTAGGGCGTGTCGATATATGATCTCAGCTTCTTCATACTTCCTCTCATCGAGAAGCTTCACAGCTAGCCCAACAACACCTAACAGGACGTCTGGGTGATGTGGCCCAGGCGCGCTCCCCCCACCTACTGGGTTCACGCTTCCCACTTCGTTCTTTCTCCGATCGTGTAGGACAGCATCTAGATCATTGGCGCTTCGTAAGGTATCTTGATGGTACAGCCCGAGTGTTTTCTCTCTGCCCGTCAATGCTTGTCGGAGGATAATCTCGGCTTCGTCGTACTTTTCCTGATGATATAGCACCTCACCGAGATTATTGGCACTCTGCAAGGTAATTGGATGATCTGGCCCGAGCGCTTTCTCTCTGCCCGCCAATGCACGTCGATACATAATCTCCGCTTCGCTGTACTTTCCTTGACCACGTAGAGTGGTACCGAGATTGTTGATACTCTCCAAGGTATCTCGATGGTCCGGCCCGAGCGTTTTCTCTCTACCCGCTAATGCACGTTGATGCATATTCTCCGCTTCGTCGTACCTTCCCTGATAATGCAGCACCATACCTAGATCCCTAGCACTCTGTAAGGTATCTCGATGATCTAGACCGAGTGTTTTCTCTCTGCCCTCCAGCGCCCGTCGATGCATCAACTCGGCCTTGTCATACTTTTCTTGACGATGCAGCACCACACCCAGATCACTCACACTCTTTAAGGTATCTAGATGATCTAACCCGAGCGATTTCTCTCTACCCGCCAATGAACGTCGATACATAATCTCGGCTTCGTCGTACTTTCCTTGACTGCGTAGGGTCGTGCCGAGATTATTGATACTATCTAAGGTATCACGATGATCTGGCCCAAGCGTTTTCTCTCTACCCGCTAATGCACGTTGATGCATAATCTCCGCTTTGTCGTACTTTCCCTGATGATACAGCACCACACCAAAGTTATTAACACTTTGTAAGGTATCTCGATGATCTCGCCCGAGCGTTCTCTCTCTTCCCACCAATGCACGTCGATAGATAATCTCGGCTTCGTCGTGCTTTCCTTGGAAATACAGCGCCGAACCGAGATTATCGACGCTATCTAAGGTATCTTGATGATCTCGCCCGAGAGTTCTCTCCATGCCTGCCAATGCACGTCGATGCATACTCTCCGCTTCGTTGTAGTTTCCCTGATGATGCAGCGCCACACCTTGGTTATTGATTCTCCTTAAGCTATCCGGGTCATCTGGGTCAAGCATCTTCTGCACGCCTGCCAATATATACTGACTCATAATTTCTAATTTGTAATACGTCCTCCGAGCTATTATCCGGGTGTGGGAATTTTAGGGCCAGAGTCCCCCTCTATTGCGACGGGTGAGCCGAACTCGTCGTCACGGTTATCCTGAAACTAATCTCGTCTATTAGGTGTGGCAGCGTTGGCTCGTTTGCCTAAATACTTGGGTATGAATTGGGCGCGGTTGGGAGTTATTGCTGGAGCTCTGACGTTTGGTACTGTAAAGCGTTAGTAATAAGGATTGTTCCTGGGAACGCTAGCTAGAGCTTAAGGTTGCTCTCAGTGCGAGGGCTACACTTACTCCGTTCATACGCCTGTTCTTTAACCCGTACTGTTTGATTCTTTCCCAATTTTCCTTCGAGTTTTTTCACTCAGCCGGGGGGTCTAACTTAGCCGGTCTGCAGCATACCAACAGCCAGCGTCAGATATGAGTAGGGTCTGCATCAATAGCGAGGATCAGACCTGCGGTGTGATGTAGAAAATAATCCGAATATTTCGAATTCGATAGTAGAAGGTGAGAAAGTTCTGGAAAGGAGCTCAAGATAGCCTGCTCTTGACATGTTGGGGTGAGGCTGAGAGGTGAAGTGCACACACCCATCAAAGCCAATCACGTGGTTCAGGCCAGTCCTTCTGAGAGGCTGCTCGGGTACGAGTACAGTACTTGTAGACTACCATGCGTTCTAACCTCCCCAACTTCTGGCAGAAGGACTCAAACCAAAAGTCTAGTCCAAAAAATGTCTGGCGGTTTATAACCTACAGGTAGCTAAAAATCCATAGTTTTTTGGTATAAGGTGGCCATTTCACCACTACTTCTTCCTCCGGACTGTAACTTACAGACAATTTACTGCTCTCGTCTGCAGAATGAGGATGACGTAGTTATTCCTAAGTCATCTTTTGGTATTATTTGGCCAATTTTCAATCATAGAGGCTCTCTTTTTACACCCACGCATTTGGATACGGATCTTACTGTTTCGCAGCACCCGAAGAATAGATGTTTTTTTCCTTGTAATGCCACAGAAAGGACTCGCTGACCACACTACTGATGGCGATATGATCTGCGGCAGAATAGGAAAAGCGTGACCACGACGAAGGCTGTTGATGCAAGCTGATGACCGTCTTAGAGGAGGATAAAAAGTATGTGTGCTCGGTGAGAGGAGATGGTCGACTATGTAATTATTATAGTATGATAGTATGATATATTATCTCTTTCGGTGGTTGGTCTCAAGTAGCGCTGTCAGGGACCTTCAATTACACCTTCGGAACCTGGAAGTAGGACGGCTACTTTGCGAATAAATAATGATGCTAAATTCCTAAATTTACATGATCGAGTTATTGGTAATCACGCTATTTTTCACAGCTGAGCGGGAGATCTCGCCGTCGAGTTTGCATAGCATACCTCAGCCAGGTATGTTTGGGAAACACCAAAGCTGGAATTCGTGGTGCCCCGACTTTGGGGCCAGGCAACAGTACTGTACCTTACCCGCGATTGTCATACCTGGTGAACACTGGATTGTAGCATTTCCATGTTATACTGGGCACACTTGTAATTGCACTGGTGAGTATCTGCCCAAATTCTCTCTCTCACGAGCCTCATCCCAATCTTCCTTTTTTGAATTATTGATGTCCTTCTAGCGATTGCTCTTTTAAACCGCTTTTCGTATACCTAACTTCAGGCGGAGTAGTTATTTCTTCCCGAGTAGCATTACAGCATCACATATGAAATACCCACCTAGCGTAGTAATTAAGCAAGATTCAGGAATAAATTGGTGAATCCCATAGCAAATTGGCAGGAACCCGGAATTTCAATTCCTCACCTCATTACCTACCATCTTCAATATCACAGGAAAAATAAATCAAGCTATTCTCTACGGGGACTGGGAGATTGATATGCTTACCCATTGGTAGCATTGAAGGAAAGATCGGCCCTACCGCGGAGACGGAGTGTGCTGTGTAGTCAATTGGGTGCTGGAAGGAAAGGGAATAGATTAAGGATAAAAACAATAATTATTCGTCCCTTACAATTTGGGGATATGAATCAGCAATGCATCTTGAACTCTACACAGGTTCTCTAGTGCGAGAGTGGCCGAATTGGTCTGTGTACACAGCCTCACCTTTTAAATGACCTTTTCACTATTGGTCTCCTTGTAAAGTTGTAAACCTACTGGACTTTCTCAATATTGAAAAGGGTCCGGAGTGGATAGATACAGCCACTAGACAAAAGTCTTGGTGATGGCGAAATATGAGACAGTCTGTGCCATTCTGAATCGCGTAATGCCGTCCACCTCCCCCCTCCGGGTGCCCTTAAATAACCAAAAAAAAAAAAAAGACATCAGATGAAATTGTAAAAATTAAAAATTAAAAGCTAAATAGTAAAAATAAAAACTAAAAACTAAAAATTAAAAATTAAAAGTCCACCTAGTATCTGGTATGCCTCCCTTTAGTATCAATAACTGTGGCAACTCTGGAAGGCACGGAATACCAGAGCTTTTCAAAAAAGGAATCGGAAATGGTTGCCCATACGAGGGGTAGCACTTCTGCCAGTCATTCCCGAATCCTCTAGGGACCCCCTTGGGTATCCGGGATATCTGGGTATTGGAGGTGGAGGTGTTGCTTGAGCTCAACCCAGGAGTACTTGATGGGTTTGAGATTGGGGGAGAGAGGAGGATTGTAATGTATTCGCAAGATACTAATCACGTTATCGGTAATAGATACAATAGTTAGCAGGTGGCCTGCTCTACCAGAGAGAAGGCGAGAGCTGAGAACTAAAGGAGGCTTTGAGAGTATACTGAGGAACAAAGAAGTAACTGTTCAACCAAGTATATTGAAATACTGTCTGTCGAAGTCTGTCTTTTCCATCGTGGAATCAGGCGGTCTTTAAGTACACAAATCTGTTCATGTCTAGTATGAACGAAACTAATCAAAGGTATCAATCGATACACTTTGGTAAAACTAATTAAGTATTAAAGCGATACTTAAAACAAAATATAAAACAAAACCAAGTATTAAAGCAATACTTAAAACAAAACATAAAACAAAACCAAGTATCAAAGCAATACTTAAAACAAAACATAAAACAAAACCAAGTATCAAACAATACTTAAAACAAACCAAGTATCAAAGCAATACTTAAAACAAAACATAAAACAAAACCAATAACCAAGTACTAGTACCGGTTACATTCCCCAAAACAAAACAACTGTTTAAACAAACAAAACCTAATAATCATCAAAAGCGGAGTCTGAGAAACTAAAGGCTTTAGTTTCTGCTATGAGCTCATCATCATAAGTGTCATACCAGGGATAAGAGAAAATCCTAAGAAAACATCTAAACTCAAAGAAATGCAAATTGCAGTAGTCATGAATACCAGATTCATTTTGTACATCTACCCAAGCGTTATCACAATCAGGACAGTAGTTCACCCATAGGACGGCGAAGTATTCTTCAGGTTGGATAACATCATGGTTCAACAACAATCCAACAATCTGTTGTTGCAGTGTCACATTAAGTTCCACATAGTTTGATATCATTATGGTATTCGGATGGTGGATGGCGATCAGATAGGGTTGTAGAGAGCCTGCTCTATAGCCTGATTTTCCTCATCGCTGCTTTTGAATTCCAACTCAAAGTATGGTACCCAGAACCTATCCCTTACTTCGGGTTCAACTTGCCATCGCTTGGCTTCTGGCATTATCAGTGTCTAGCACATTGTGATGTAATTGATCATTGGAGAGAGGGATTTATTTGGCATGTTGTCCTTCCACCATTCATTCACCATATCCAGAGCGT